TGTACTGTGTTCCTTCTTTTTGCTGCTGTTGTCTGTACTGTTGTTCCTTCTTTTGGGTTCTGTTGCTGCTGTTGTCTGTACTGTTGTTCCTTCTGTTCTGTTGTTGCTGTTGTCTGTACTGTTGTTCCTTCTGTTGCTGCTGTTGTCTGTACTGTTGTTCCTTCTGTTGTTCTGTTGCTGCTGTTTGTACTGTTCCTTCTGTTGCTGCTGTTGTCTGTACTGTTGTTCCTTCTGTTGCTGCTGTTGTCTGTACTGTTGTTCCTTCTGTTGTTCTGTTGCTGCTGTTGTCTGTACTGTTTCCTTCTTTTGTTCTGTTGTGCTGTTGTCTGTACTGTTGTTCCTTCTGTTTTTGTGCTGATTGTCTGTAATTTTTGTTCCTTCTTTTTGTTTTTTGCTGTTTGTCTGTAACTGTTGTTCCTTCTGTTCTGTTGTTGCTGTGTCTGTACTGTTTTTTTTCCTTCTGTTTTTGTTGCGGGTTGTCTGTACTGTTGTTCCTTCTGTTCGTTTTTTGCTGGTTGTTCTGTATGTTTGTTCATCTGTTCTGTGCTTTTTTCCTGTTTTTTGTTACTGTTTTCCTTCTGTTCTGTTGCTGCTGTTGTCTGTACTGTTGTTCCTTCTGTTCTGTTGCTGCTGTTGTCTGTACTGTTGTTCCTTCTGTTGTTCTGTTGCTGCTGTTGTCTGTACTGTTCTGTTGCTACTGTTCTGTTGCTACTGTTGTTCCTTCTGTTGTTCTGTACTGCTGTTCTGAACTGTTGTTCCTTCTGTTCTTTGGGTTTGCTTTGTTCCTTCTGTTGTTCTGTAGCTGCTGTTGTTCCTTTTTTCTGTATGTTCTGTACTGTTTTCTTTTTTGCTGTTTGTTCCTTTCTGTTCTGTTGCTGCTGTTGTCTGTACTGTTTTTCCCTTTCCTTCTGTTGTTGCTGTTGTCCCCTGTCTGTTGTCCTTTCTGTTGTTCTGTTTTCCCTGTTTTTTCCTGTACTGTTGTTCCTTCTGTTGTTTGTTTGCTGCTTGTTTTTTTCTGTATTTGTATTCCTTCTTTTTTCTGTTGCTGCTGTTGTCTGTATTTTGTTTTTCCGTTCTGTTTGTTCCTTCTTTGCGTTGCTGCCCACTGGTTTTTGGTTTTGTTTTATGGTGTTCCAGTGGGTTTTTTTGGTTAGTTCTTACTCCACCACTGGGGTGCTGTGGTAGTTCCCATTGGTGGTGCTGTTACTACTACCACTGGTGTAGTGCTGTGGTAGTTCCAGTGGTGGTGCTAGTTACTACCCCCTGGTGTAGTGCTGTGGTAGTTCCAGTGGTGGTGCTAGTTACTCCACCACTGGTGGTGCGTGGTAGTTCCTGGGGTGTATTACTACTAAATTTTTCTAGCCATTGGGGGTTTAGCTACCCCCACGGGGGAGTGTTTGGGGTAGTTCCAGGGGTGGGTTACTACCCCACGGGTGGGTCTGTGGTATTCCAGGGGTGGTGCTGTTAAACCCCCACGTGGTGGTGGTAGCCCCCGTGGTGGTGGCTAGTTACACCCCACTGAGTGCTGTGGTTTTTCCAGTGGGGGTGCGGGTTACTCCCAAACCACTGGGGGGAGTGTTTGGCTAGTTCCAGTGGTGGTGCATTTACTCCCAAACTGGTTTTGGAGTGCTGTGGTGTTCCAGTGGTGGTGCTAGTTCTACCACCACTGGTGGTGCTGTGTAGTTCCAGTGGTGGTGCTAGTTACTACCCCAACTGGTGGAGTGCTGGGGTTTGTTCCATGGTGGTGTAGTTACTACCACCACTGGTGGAGTGCTGGTTTAGTTCCTGGTGGTGGTTAGTTACTACCACCCATGGTGGAGTGCTGGGTAGTTCCAGGGGGGGGCCCTAGTTACTCCACCACTGGTGGGTGCTGTGGTAGTTCCCAGGGGTGGGGGTAGTTCTATGTACTACCCCCTGGGGGAGTGTTGGGTAGTTCAGTGGTGGTGCTAGTTACTACCACAACTGGTGGGTGTTTGTGGTAGTTCCCAGGTGGTGGTACAAAATTACTACCACCTGGTGGAGTGCTGTGGTAGTTCCAGTGGTGGTGCTAGTTACTACCCCCATTTGGTGGAGTGCTTGGTAGTCCAGTGGTGGTCTAGTTTCTACCACCACTGGTGGATTGCTGTGGTAGTTCCAGTGGTGGTCTAGTTACTTCCCCCATGGGGAGTGCTTTGGTAGTTCCAGTGGTGGTGCTGTTACTTCCCCCATGGTGGAGTGCTGTGGTAGTTCCAGTGGTGGTGCTAGTTACTACCACCACTGGTGGAGTGCTGTGGTAGTTCCAGTGGTGGTGCTAGTTACTACCACCATTGGTGGAGGCTGTGTAGGTAGTTCCTAGTGGTGGTGCTAGGTTACTACCACCATGGTGGAGTGCTGTGGTGTTCCAGTGGTTGGTGCTTGTATACCCCACTGGGAGTGCTGGGTAGTTTCCGTGGTGGGCTAGTTACTCCCACCACTGGTGGGGTGCGTGGTATTTCCAGTGGTGGTGCTAGTTACTACCACCAAATTGGGGTGCTATGGTAGTTCCAGTGGTGGGTACCCCTATGTACTACCCCCAACTGGTGGAGTGCTGTGGTAGTTCCAGTGGTGGTGCTAGTTACTACCACCACTGGTGGAGTGCTGTGGTAGTTCCAGTGGTGGTGCTAGTTACTACCACAACTGGTGGAGTGCTGTGTAGTTCCAGTGGTGGTGCTAGTTACTACCACCACTGGTGGAGTGCTGTGGTAGTTCCAGTGGTGGTGCTAGTTACTACCACCACTGGTGGAGTGCTGTGGTAGTTCCAGTGGTGGTGCTAGTTACTACCACCACTGGTGGAGTGCTGTGGTAGTTCCAGTGGTGGTGCTAGTTACTACCACCACTGGTGGAGTGCTGTGGTAGTTCCAGTGGTGGTTAGTTACTACCACCACTGGTGGAGTGCTGTGGTAGTTCCAGTGGTGGTGCTAGTTACTACCACCACTGGTGGGAGAATAAGACCACCATCTTGGTGATAACATTGTAGGTGGGTTAACAAGCCAGGATGTCCCCAAAGTAAGCCACACACTGTGGCTTACTTTCACAGTGGGTTCCTGCCTAACCCAAGTGGTTCCTACACAGTGGGAAATGTGACAGTGTTATTGTTGCTGTTGGAGTTATAGGTACCCTAGGATCAGAGCGCCTGGAGGATGTCTGATCCGTGTGGGTTTAGAGCCTGGCCCAGGAAGGTAACAATGGGACCTGCATTGGAACAGTGGTAGCATTGTTACCAGTGATTGTATGTTAGTTCATGCTGAGGTAGGCTTGTTAGTGTGGCAGGGTGCCAGGGTAGAGAGGGAGGGTGCCAGGGTAGGCAGGGAGACAGGGTGCCAGCGTAGGTAATGTGGTAGGGTAAGCAGGGATGGTGCCAGGGTAGGCAGGGAGACAGGGTAGCAGGTGCCAAGGTAGAGAGGGAGGGTACTAGGGTAGGCAGGGAGACAGGGTGCCAGCGTAGGTAATGTGGCAGGGTAAACAGGGAGGGTGCCACGGTAGAGAGGGAGGTGCCAGGGTAAGCAGGGAGACAGGGTAGCAGGTGCCAAGGTAGAGAGGGAGGTGCTAGGGTAGGCAGGGAGACAGGGTAGCAGGTGCCAAGGTAGAGAGGGAGGGTACCAGGGTAGGCAGGGAGACAGGGTGCCAGCGTAGGTAATGTGGCAGGGTAAACAGGGAGGGTGCCACGGTAGAGAGGGAGGTGCCTGGGTAGCAGGGAGACAGGTAGCAGGTGCCAAAAGGGGACAGGGGGTAGAGGGTCCTGGGAGGCAGGGGAGAGACAGGGTGCCAGCGTAGGTAATGTGGCAGGGTAAACAGGGAGGGTGCCACGGTAGAGAGGGAGGTGCCAGGGTAAGCAGGGAGACAGGGTAGCAGGTGCCAAGGTAGAGAGGGAGGGTACCAGGGTAGGCAGGGAGACAGGGTGCCAGCGTAGGTAATGTGGCAGGGTAAACAGGGAGGGTGCCACGGTAGAGAGGGAGGTGCCAGGGTAAGCAGGGAAAGGGACAGGGCTGGGAGCAGGGGGGCCAAAGGTTAGAGAGGGAGGGTACCAGGGTAGGCAGGGAGACAGGGTGCCAGCGTAGGTAATGTGGCAGGGTAAACAGGGAGGGTGCCACGGTAGAGAGGGAGGTGCCGGGGTAAGCAGGGAGACATATATATATATATATATATATATATATTATATATATATATATATATATATATATATATATATATATATATATAACAGTAACCAGACAAAAACAGTTGTGGGGGCAGTATAGCACAGTGAAAGGTACGACATACTTAGATAAGTGTAAGAGAGCACTTAAGCACTACAATCAGTGGTAGAAGGTAGCACTTAGTAAGCCAGGCAAGTGTCTGGAGCAGCATAAAGTTAGCACTCACCTCGCTACTGCTTCTCGTATTTAATGACCCCCAGATTGAGTCATTAAGATCTCCACATTTGGCCAGAGAGGTCAGGATGACAACCAGCCCTGTTGCTCTGTTGATGCTCTGTTGCCCTGTTGTTGCTCTGTTGTTCTCATCCGAACAGTAAGAACAGGGCTTCTGAGTTTCACAGTCCCGTTGCTGTTATATCCTAGAATATGTATCGACAAAGCCACCAGATGGGCGAAAAGTCTACAGATAAAGATACCCGGATGTCTAATTCGCCATCCTGTCGGTACTGTATACCACTGATATACACACTGTGAAGACCGGTATCCCACTTGTATACCGGCAATACATATTCCTTGACATATTTCCTCACAGTTTACACATACAGAACTGTTCAGTACATTAGAAATCCCCTAGTTTACGATTCATTACAGCCAGAATGTAAACAGCAGTGACCCCTAATCTTTACAAGGGGGCCCACAAGACAGGTGAAAATCTACAGTAGGCCTAGTTAGGCCGTGCCGGTAGAAAGCTTAACTCTTGCGTGGCTTATTTCAGAGGTTATGGATCTATCCAGGACTTGAACCTGGGATAACCTAGAATGACTCATAAATAAATCAAAATATGACCTATTTTTGTTAAGTTCCTTGAGCTAACTTCTCCTTTTTGTGTGTTTACAGGATGGCCATCATGATGAGATTCGTGTACCTGTTGGCAGCCATCACTGCCGGTACCTGGCAGCAGAGTACCGCTGTTATGCCACCGGTACTGTATCCCGCACCTGCTGCTACAATAGCTCCCACTACTACTGCTACGCCAGCAGTAGCCTCCAACACAACAGCTGTGGCAGGTGTTGTTACAGCTCCACTCGTCTCCATCTCTTTGCCTCCAGTTCTGGTCAATATGACCAGAGACTGGGGGTGTCCGTACGTCCGTGGTGTAGCGGAGGTATCTTGTACGTGTGACGTACCACACACTGTTAGATGTCGAGGGCAGGCAGATCGCCCACATGACTTGATTTCCCTTATCCACAACCTCGGTATCAAAGGCTCTATCTCCCTGCTGGATCTAGCAGTACACGGACTTAGAGAGCTTCCTGGACGCGTATTTACCAGTATGGAACTTCTAGGTTTGGTCATAACAACAGCAGACCTGCAGACTTTACCCCACGATGCGTTCTCCGGCTTGGAGAACACACTGGCAGCTCTAGGTCTGCCGAATAACAAATTGGTAGAGGTACCTGCCAATGCTCTAAGACCCCTAGTCGAACTCCAGCGACTAGACTTGAGTGATAACCAAATACGCGAACTGCCACCCAGGGCCTTTCCAGTCCTCCCACAGCTGCAGAATCTCGATCTCGCAGGTAATAACTTGCAGGTTCTCCACTCGGAAGCCTTTCTCCATCTGCCTAATCTAGTTTCTCTCAATCTAGCGAACAATGAACTAGATGCGGCGCAGATTAACGAGAAATCCCTTCGCGGGTTGCACGCTCTTCAGCGCCTCTCACTCAAGTCCAACCTCCTGAAGGGAGCTGTAACTTCGACGCTTATTAAAGGAGCCAAGGGACTCACTTCTGTAGATTTATCAGGCAATGCATTAACTATGTTATCCAGGGGATCCCTAGCTGCCTGCCCCAACATACGCGAGTTAGATCTATCACGTAACAACATAGATGTCATTGAAGATCATGCCTTTGCTAATCTAAGTCAGCTGCAACACCTGAAATTGTCGCACAACAGCGTGGTAGCTGTGTCAGGCTGGTCCCTGGCACACCTGCCACAGCTGACATATCTGGCCATGGCTGACAATGCTCTGAGAGCAGTCACAGCAGACTTATTGCACCAGCTGTCGGCTCTGAAGTCCCTCGACCTGGCTGCCAACGATATTTCGCTTATACAGCCTTACGTCTTCAACTCCACACCTGCGCTACAACACCTTATACTTACTGGTTAGCATTATTATTATTATTATTATTATTATTTAGTAGTAGTAGTAGTAGTAGTAGTAGTAGTAGTAGTACTCACCTATTTGTGGTTGCAGGGGTCGAGTCACAGCTCCTGGCCCCGCCTCTTCGCTGATTGCTACTAGGTCCTCTCTCTCCCTGCCCCATGAGCTCTATCATACCTCGCCTTAAAACTATGTATGGTTCCCGCCTCCACTACGTCACTTTCTAGGCTATTCCACGGCCTGACTACTCTATGACTGAAGAAATACTTCCTAACATCCCTTTGATTCATCTGAGTCTTCAACTTCCAACTGTGACCTCTTGTGTCTGTGTCCCATCTCTGGAACATCCCGTCTTTGTCCACCTTGTCTATTCCGCGCAGTATTTATATGTCGTTATCATGTCTCCCCTGACCCTCCTGGCCTCCAGTGTCGTCAGGCCGATTTCCCTCAACCTTTCTTCGTAGGACAATCCCCGTAGCTCTGGGACTAGTCTTGTTGCAAACCTTTTGCACTTTCTCTAATTTCTTGACGTGCTTGACTAGTGTGGATTCCAACTGGTACTGCATACTCCATATGGCCGACTAGATGTATACAGATCTTAAACGAATCCTTACTGAGGTATCGGAACGCTATCCGTAGTTTGCCAGGCGCCCGTATGCTGCAGCAGTTATCTGATTGATGTTGCCTCAGGAGATATGCTCGGTGTTATACTCACCCCCAGATCTTTTTCCTTGAGTGAGGTTTGCAGTCTTTGGCCATCTAAACTATATTGTGTCTGCAGTCTTCTTTTGCCCTTCCCCAATCTTCATGACTTTGCATTTGGGAGGGTTAAATTCAAGGAGCCAGTTGCTGGACCAGGCTTGTAGCCTGTCCAGGTCCTTTGTAGTCCTGCCTGATCCTCGTCCGATTTGATTCTTCTCATTAACTTCACATCATCTGCAAACAAGGACACTTCTGAGTCTATCCCTTCCGTTATGTCGTTCACGTATCCAAGAAAAGCACAGGTCCTAGGACTGACCCCTGTGAACCCCACTTGTCACAGGCGCCCACTCTGACACCTCGTCGTGTACCATGACTCGTTGTTGCCTCCCTGTCAGATATTCTCTGATCCATTGCAGTGCCTTTCCTGTTATGTGTGCCTGGTCCTCTAGCTTTTGCAGTAACCTCTTGTGAGGAACTGTGTCGAAGCCTTCTTGCAGTCCAAAATATGCAGTCGATCCACCCCTCTCTCTCTTGTCTTACTTCTGTCACCTTGTCATAAAACTCCAGTAGGTTTGTGACACAGGATTTTCCTTCCCTGAAACCTGTTTGTGCTTACAGGGGGTTGATCCACAGCTCCTGCCCCTGCCTCTTCACTGGTTGCTACTAGGTCCACTCTCTCCCTTCTCCATGAGCTTATCATACCTCTTCTTTGAACTATGTATGAATCCTGCCTCCACTTACATCACTCTCCACATTGTTCCACTTGTGTGTATGTGTGTGTGTGTTTGTACTCACCTATTTGTGGTTGCAGGGGTCGAGGCATAGCTTCTGGCCCCGCCTCTTCACTGACTGCTACCGGGTCCTCTTTCTCCCTGCTCCATGAGCTTTATCATACCTCGTCTTAAAATTATGTATGGTTCCTGCCTCCACTACGTCACTTGCCAGACTATTCCACTTCCTGACAACTCTATGACTGAAGAAATACTTACTAACATCCCTGTGACTCATCTGAGTCTTCAGCTTCCAATTGTGACCTCTTGTTACTGTGTCCCATCTCTGGAACATCCTGTCTCTGTCCACCTTGTCTATTCTATGCAGTATTTTGTACGTCATTATCACGTCTCCCCTGACCCTCCTATGCTACATCATTATTATCATCATTATGCGACTCACCAGCCATGGGTTCTAACCCAACCTGTTCTATGGTTTCTCATTATTACCGTATTATTATTATATTTCCAGATAATCCTCTACACTGTGACTGTACCCTGACCTGGTTGTGGCAGTGGCTGGTCCACCACCCATCCCTGACCCATGAAGAACAACTTAGCACTGTCTGTGCCACACCACCAGCACTGGAAAATGCTCCTCTTGTAAGTTCTATTTACTTCAAGACCCCCCAGTCCACCTCCAGGATTCTCCTATTAATAATAATAATGTTCATGTTTACCAGTACCTGATACAACTTATACAGACCATAGTTGACACCTATGACATACTACTACATAGAAAGTCCCTTGTTATGTCAGGCATTTCCCACAAATTAGGTCAGTTTTGTCCCCAGGATGCCACCCACACCAGTCACCTAACACCCAGGTACCTAATTACTGCTAGGTGAACAGTGACAGCAGGTATAAGGTGACTTACACCCCTGTACCTGCTTACTGCTAGGTGAACAGAGACAGCAGGTATAAGGTGACTTACACCCCTGTACCTGCTTACTGCTAGGTGAACAGAGACAGCAGGTATAAGGTGACTTACACCCCTGTACCTGCTTACTGCTAGGTGAACAGAGACAGCAGGTATAAGGTGACTTACACCCCTGTACCTGCTTACTGCTAGGTGAACAGGGACAGCAGGTGTATTAAGGAAACACATCCTAATGTGTCCACCCACACCAGGGATCGACCCCCGGACCTGTGTGAGGTGAGTGCGCTACCAACAAAGCCACAGGACACCATCATAACTGAAGACCAATAAGCTGTAACAGAGGCTGGGCAACTCTCCCCATTAATATTAATCAAAATCATCCCTTCACCAGTACTAAATCACTCTTTGGAATGATAAAGACATGGGGGCCCTACATTTTTGGGCCCCTGAAGCTTAAACTGCTATGGGGGCCCCTTTGCAACCAGTAACATCTGGCCTACATGATACAGGTCCACATCCCTTTATCTGAAACCCTTGGGGCCAGCAGTGTTTCGAATTTCAGAATGAAAGTGGGGTCTAGGGCAGCTGGAGAGTTTACCTGGAGTTTACCATAATCAAACATTACCACTGCAGCAAAAACCTATGAATACTCACACTAAGTGGGATAAATAAAGACTACAAATACTTCTGCGGTTTATTTTTAGAGTAATACAGTGGACCCCCGCATAACGATCACCTCCGAATGCGTCCAATTATGTAAGTGTATTTATGTAAGTGCGTTTGTACATGTATGTTTGGGGGTCTGAAATGGACTAATCTACTTCACAATATTTCTTATGGGAACAAATTCGGTCAGTACTGGCACCTGAACATACTTCTGGAGTGAAAAAATATCGTTAACCGGGGGTCCACTGTATATACAGTGGTACCTCGAGTTACGAACATAATTCGTTCCAGAAGGCTGTTCCAGAAGGCTGTTCCAGAAGGCTGTTCCAGAAGGCTGTTCCAGAAGGCTGTTCCAGAAGACTGTTCCAGAAGGCTATTTGAGTGCCGATACCAAAAGAATTTGTTCCCATAAGGAATAATGTAAATTAGATTAGTCCATTTCAGACCCCCAAAAATACACTTACAAAAATATACTTACATAATTGTCCGAGTTGGGACGTGTTCGAAACTCGAGGTGCCACTGTGTTGATAAATGAAATAATGGGATAATTATAGACCAGGAACATGATTCTCAAGATATTCCACATATTTCCATCCCCTTTATTAATTCCTCTTTTCCATTTATATCCACGAAAAAAACTTCGGTTTTCGGAGCTTTTCAAATTTCAGAATTTCGGATAACGGGATACGGACCTGTACTTTGATAACGTCTTAATTTTTATTATATTGTACTGAATTGCACTTTACTAATTTTGTTTTTTAAAAACTCATACGGTAGACCCAAAGTTTTTATTAATGTGGATTAAAAATCACTTAGGGGGCTGTCAGGGTTTAGGTCGTCCCCTGGACACGTGTAAAACACTTTGATATCTTTATTACAGAAAATTTTCCCCATAGAGTGGATTCATCGGTCTAATATAGAGAAGAATGGTGAAGATCAGGAGGAGTCTGAGGTAGTCAGTCCCTCAGCCTCGGACTTTTCTCAAGACTGACAAATTGATTACATCATCTCCAGGATGAGGGATTGATTACCTCAAACTCCTTCTGATCTCCATTATTATTATTATTATTATTATAATCAAAGGGGAAGCGCTAAACCCGTAGGATTATACAGCGCCTGGGGGGGGATGTGGAAGGCATTCAGGCTTAATTCGGGGAACTGGAGCACAGTTCCAATTCCCTAAATCAAGAGCCCCTCACCAACATCAAGGAACCTTCCATGAGGGGTTCTGATCTCCAGCCATTCATCTTGTATGGGACTGAAGAAGCCGCTGTGCGGCAGAACATTTCCACAGTATACACAAGTGCTGTACGTGTGTCTAATTTTTCAACTTGAAATTCCAGATTATTTCACCATATTCTTGTACTTATAATAAAGAATATCTAGAGGTCATTTAGACAAAGATTTTGTAGGTCCCTGAGTTACAGGTACTGTGAGGCCCCTGGGCTGCGGGTCCCTGAGTTACAGGTACTGTGAGGCCCCTGGGCTGCGGCCCCTAAAACCCATACCTTAATCCGACCCTGTATTTACTGGTTCATTTAATAAACCCGGGAGGCAGGTGGGGGTTAGACCCCGTGGCAAGTAAGCGCTAAACTTCGCAAGCCAGTCATTTTCCCTTTCTTTTCAACTGTGTTATTTTGTGAGCTGTGTAATTAACACAGTGTATCGCAGGTAATTACTACCATTAGGTGTCACTTATTGGGTCATTTAATTAGTTTTTATTTAAGATAATCAAGGTTAAATTATATATAATTATAATCATAACTAAGAGCTAAACCATAAGGGTTGATTAACCGTGAAGAAGTGTGTTCCTATGGGTTGTGGCTTATAGCGTTTGTTGCTGTTGCAGATTGAGTTGAGGCAATCACAACTGGTGTGCTCCGAGGAGGATGTTTCAAACCACGACTACTTCCACGACTATCACGACTACTACCACGACGAGGCTACGGCCGAGGAGACACCAGACATGAGGCGGTCTGATGCAGAGATCAGCCTACAGGTTGCACACTGGGTGCGTAAGGATGACTCAGAGCAGAATAATGGCCAGGCGTTGGACAAGGAATCACACCTAGCGGTGGAGCTCGTGTGGAGGGTCGAAGATAAAGCAATACCGTATTCCTGCGAGGCTGTGTTTGTGTATGAAGTGGTACAGGGAACACCAGACTCACACCAGGTTCTAGCAGAGAAAGTAGCAGCTAACTGTTCATCAGATGATATACACGATCCACATCAGGTAGTAGTGACAGTGCCTGGGGAAGTGCTGGTTCCAGGTGCAACATATCGATACTGTCTCATGTTGCTGGAACGTGGTACTGGTGACCAGGAAGCTTTCTTGCCAGGGTGCTCTGAGCCTCTCTTACTGACTGCTGCTCCTTTCACCTTACCCAAACAAAGGGGAAGCAGCCCAGTGCTACGTGTGACTAGCCTCACTGCTGGAGGAGTAGGTGGAGCACTGGTGGTACACACACGTGTGGATGGCAGTGATGGACCATGCACTTACACTCTTGCTATCGTTGCAGGGCACAGAATTGCTGCAACACGGCAACTTAATTGTTCGGAAGCACGGCATGAGTTCCCATCGCTGGCTGAAGGTCAGTATGTCGCCTGTGCTGATCCTGATGTTTCAGGCATTACCCATGACTTCAGCCATCTTGAACACCATCTGAAGGCCGCGGAGAATGTCACCACGGCTCTCCACCAGGACTTCTCCATCTGTACACCCGTAATCACCTTCACACCTTACAGAGACCAAGGAATAGGCACAGGGCCATTATTAACCCTCTTGTTTACACTGCCGGGCCTTGCATTGGTTGTCACGCTCTATGTGATAGCGAGGAGAGTGTGGCGGGGAGGTGGAGTACCCTGGCGCTGGGACCCAAGAACACAAAAGAACGGAAAATACTTTCTTTACACTGGCGAGGTTCCTACACCGTCCCTAAGTCTGGATCCCCTACCGGCAGATAACCCAGAAACCACCACTCCGGTTTAGCACTTCCGACGCTCCCGTATACAATAAGTCCTCAACTCACAAACACATTGAGAATCTAATGTATCATGTATAATACCATTATTATATCATTATTATGCACGACACATAAGGTTCCCAACATGTTCGTAAGTCGAGGAATTACTGTATTTTTAACACTAAAGTAGGCGTGCCTACAACCTACACAAGTCATTTCTAGTCCACAAATAGTCAGGCAAGTACTTCAGAGTACCTGGAAGCACCCAAGTGCTCCAGGAATATATATATATATGATCATGGTCTTGACAGGGCAGCAGTCACAGTGTCGTACACTGTCAAGAACAGATCTGGTGTTCACATACGAATTTTTTATATTGTATTAATAAGTATATTTCTTATTAAGTCTTTTTTGAGAAATATTTGTAATTTAGTATTGTGCCCAATATACTAATTGTTTATAACCAATAAATTGCTTTAACGACTAGTGATAACTAGTGAATAAGTCGGCATACTTTAAGAGGTAATAACTAAATGGTTATAACTGACCATAGTTTTTAAAGGGGTGGACCGGTAAGCCAGTGGAAGACCTTGGTCAAATGACCAAAAGCTCCAACGGCGGGTCATCGTCTGACTAAGACCCATATCAGGAAACACTTGTCTGGTTTCCTGATGAACCTTACCTAACCTTAACAGGCGTGTGAGTTTCCCTGTCACCTAATATCGTGTTTGTTTCCCCTATAATCTACCTTGTCCATAATTACTGCCGCATTTGCATTGTCTGTTTCGTAAAGTGAAGTCCAGGATCTTTCCTTAATTCATGGTATAACTTAACAAATCTTTGAGAACAGTAGTGTTGTAGACGTCTGAGTACAACTCAGACGTCTACAACACAATTTGTTAAGTTATACCATGAATTAAGGAAAGATCCTGGACTTCACTTTACGAAACAGACAATGCAAATGCGGCAGTAATTATGGACAAGGTAGATTATAGGGGAAATATAAACACGACATTAGAAAACGGGAATTGATGCGCCTCTTAAAGTTGACGCGGTGATTGTTCACATGACTGAAATTGTTACCCCGGATGGTAGACAAAATGCATTTCGACCACAGGAAAAGGGTTACAATAGAGCCTAGAACAATGAAAAATTTAAAAATAACTAATTTTCAAGGCTTTGTCGTAAATTTCACATTCTGTCATGTTATACACAGCAGCATCTCTTGTATATTGGGAATTTTTAATATACAGCCACAAATTACGAATTTTGTACTTGTACAGTTATCTGGTGTTTACTGTGGCCCAAAAGTAACTCTTAATTTTGCTTAATAATGACCCTAAAGCACATAAATAGTGATGGTGGTAATTCTTCAGAGCCTAAGAGAAGCTGTGAAGAGCTTCTCATCAGCGAAAAGTGATAATTTTCAACTTGAAGTGCGTAATTTATCAATTAAACTCTCATAGGTACGTATGTACAGGAAACATAACTTATAACACACAGGATTTATCTATGCTAAAGCAGCGCTGTTTAGCCCTTGTGGCTCAGCGCTTCATTTTTTTTTATAATAATAATAATATCCATGCTAAATCTCGGAACATATCACCTGCAGATACGCGGGGAGACTACTGTACAGGTCAGCCATTGCTAATCCGGCAAGCAAGAGTTCATTATATCTTATAAAACTGCACTGCTGTAGACCTTTCAGCAGTTATGGGGAGTGCTAAACCCATAGGAATTATACAGTGCCTGTGGGTGGGATTGGGAGGTATTCAGGTTTGATTCGGGGAGCTGGAGCACAGATTCAATTCCCTAGATCAAGAGCCCCTCACCAGCCTCAAGGAACCTCCCTCGAGGGGATCTATCAGTAGAGACGGCAGTCAAAATTAGTGCCGGATTAGCAACGGAACCAGATTAGCAACGGAACTGGATTAGCAACAGAACCGGATTAGTGACGGCTGACCTGTATGTGTAAATACTGGACTAGAAGCATTGCCTTTAGTTATAACTGTGTGTGTGTTGCCGCTGTTAAGTGTGTCCGAGGACTCTCTCTCCTTACGTATGATCTCACGCTTGTATATGTCAGAATACAACCACAAACAAGTGACATCTGAACAATAACAACGCTGCGGCTAACCAGGGGTCGAACCCGTGTTGTTTTGGCCCACTTCGTGGCGGACTAAAACAACACGGGTTCAACCCCCGGCCAGCCACAGTGTGTTTGTGTACATTTACACAACACTTTCTTACACAAAGTAATTTTACATTTGTATTATCATAATGAAGCACTAAACCCTTATGGGTCACACTACACATTTGTTGTTAAGTGACTGACACTGTATGTTCAGAAACACTTGGACTTAGAGTAAACTCTTGATATAATGAACTAATAGAGGGGAGCATACAGTCAACTCTTGTATAACGCTCCTCTCTATGGTCAACGCTGCGTAACTCTTGTGGGTTTAACTCTTCTTTTTATTATAATAATAATCCTCTATATTTTTTTGTAAATGTGATTAATAAAATACACAGAGAAACCTCCACAGTACGTGCTGGTTAATTTTGGACGTGCTTATTCAGTCACATTAACAAAATGACACTGTATATAGGGTCTTTATAATAGACTGTACCTAATATTGTACCATATACACAGTTTGTTAAATTTGTTAAGTTAAAAGTACAACTTAACTAGTAGAATTTGTTACAGATGTCCGTTATACTGAGGTCCATTATATTAAAGTCTGTTATATGGAGGTCCATTATAGTGAGGGTGTGTGTAACTGGTTTAGGCCTGTTTTTTTTTTTTTTTTTTTACAAATTATATATATTGTTTTACATGTTAATGATCACCGTGTTAATGCTAGTTGAAAACTGTTGCCATTTGTTGCAGATGCAATATCTTGAACACCTTCACAATGTCCTAAAGGAACACCTTCACATTGTCCTAAAGGAACACCTTTACAATGTCCTAAAGGAACACCTTTACAATGTCCTAAAGGAACACCTTTACAATGTCCTAAAGGAACACCTTCACAATGTCTAAAGGACACCTCGTGTCCTAAAGGAACACCTTCACAATGTCCTAAAGGAACACCTTTACAATGTCCTAAAGGAACACCTTCACAATGTCCTAAAGGAACACCTTCACAATGTCCTAAAGGAACACCTTCACAATGTCCTAAAGGAACACCTTTACAATGTCCTAAAGGAACACCTTTACAATGTCCTAAAGGAACACCTTTACAATGTCCTAAAGGAACACCTTTGCTGTAACTTGCATATTTAAACCACAGGTTTAAGTACATTTGAATTTATTGGCAAACTCAAGATACGTTTTCAACATTAATAAAATTTAATTCAGTGCCATGAAATTTCTGAAAAAATTAAACCATGAAGCTAAAATGTTATTCGCTCTTTAGCCAATAGTGAAGCAATCGTGCTGAGTAAAATACAGGAAGTACTCGACTTACAAACACGTTCATTATATCATTATAACATTATTGTGTATATCATTATACACAATACAGGTCCTCAATGTGTCTGTAATGTGAAGACTTCCTGTATACAGTCAGTTCTCTTATAGATCTATTTTATACAACTAAGTTTTCTTGCAAATGCAGCTCAAGTCCGTCTGTAATTGAACAGCGCAGACTGTGAAGGACGGATGACGTTATGCCAACAGGTAGTGAGAAAAACTGTAGTGTCACCGCCTAATTGTTTTGTCAAGTTAACGAATAAGCTGAATGATGCAGTGATTTGAAGAAAATTAAAGTGATTGAATCAAGGAAATGAAAACAATTCGATAAGAAAATGATTCGATAATAAAGAAAATGAAAACAAGGGTACCAGTTTGGTCTCCCATAGGCCTGTCATAAGCCTCCTATAGGCCTTGCACAATTTGTATTTTTTTTATTTAAAATGTGAAGTACAGAATGGTGTGTAAAGAGCTCTCTCAGGTGTATCTAAATTGTATATTGTGATGCAGTAAACCCATACGGGGTATTCAGAGCGAACAGTGGAGGCTTGACTTTCTGTCTGATAAGTGTGGCTCAGTCTGTGATCAAGCACCAGCCCATGTGTATTTAGTGTTTTTTTTTTAGTCTGAGCCATCAAACTGGTGTGACTTTCATGACTGTCGTGACTGTCATGACTCATGACTCATGACTGTCGTGACTCATGACTCATGACTGTCGTGACTGTCGTACCTCTGAGGTTCGGCACTCGCCGCACTCTACACTTCAACAGCTTTATATTAGTGATAGTCTATTAAAAATACAACACAGTTATCACCCGCTTTATTTTTAACGGTGTTTTACGAAGCTTTAACAGAGTTTTTTGTCTTTATTTTGTAGCAAAATATCGTTCCTTACATTTACGTTTGTCATAATGTTATGTAAATACTTTACAACTGTCATGGTAATAGATAGCTTTATTTTTCCCCTGTAAAGTGTGGTAAAGCGAGAACACAGAGCGACCTTCATACTGGCGACGCTTAATGCTGTTTGCACCGAGAGTTTTATCGTGGCATTTGGCGTATAGACTTTATTGAGAAAGCCTAATAAGTCCAGTCAGGGATGATACACAATAAAGGCTAAACTTCGTTTGGTCTCTAGACTTCATTGAGAAAATTCGATAAGGTACAGTAAATGCTCGACTTACAAAAACATTGAGAATCTCCTGTAGCGTGTATATTATTATTACATCATTATTGTGTATCGTATCATTATATAGTACAGAAGGTCCTCAGATTACTTGTGTTGAAAACTTCCTGTATAGTCAATATGTGATGGTTGCAGTGAATTATTCACTGCAAACATCACGTTGTTTGGTCTTTAGACTTTGAAAATTTGATAAGTCAAGAATGATATAGTAAGGATTCACTGCAGTGTCTTTCTAGCTGTTGGTTTATGCAAATGTTGGTCCAGTGAGCTCAGTGTTGAACGTAATCTCGTTACGTAAAAGGAATAATGTGACATTTTATTGTCACAATAAAACGTCACATTAGTGTCCACTTACCCAGCAGTCAGTTAGTAATTCTACCATTATCACCTTTACCTCAACTTGACAGCAAAAACGTCATTACAATGAATACTTTACTGACTCGCTTTACCATACTTGACGGCGCCATTCGCCAGTCAGACCGTGTAATGTTGTAAATACAGAACTTTCCCATGGGAAACTGGGTTAGAATCCTTCATTTGTAAGTCATGCTCGTCAGGAGCAAGGGGCTAGTAAACCTTCTCCTGTATACATTACCAAATTTAAAAAGAGAAACTTTCGTTTTTCTTTTTAGGTCACCCAACCTCGGCGGGAGACGTCCGGTGTGTTGAAAAAAATACAGACCTGCGTATTATACATTTTACAAGTCATTACCATTATCATCTCATATGCCTGTGTATGTGGTCGTATTAATAGCCTTTTTAAGCAGAACTGTGAGACCTATGCAGTTTTCTTGATGTTATATATATATATATATGCAGTGACCACAGAGCTCGAGACTTTTTTTTTTTTTTTTTTTTTTTTTTTTTTTAAAGCGACTGAGCAGTTGTGTTGAAAATTGAATATCAGTTGGAAATACTTTTGGAATATGTACTATTAAATTTTTATATTCTTTTTATACATATTATTCAATTTTGGATGTACTTTTTCAATCATATTTACAAAAAGATTTATAAGAGTGTCTTCCTCGTATCAAACCTGATTTTCTCCAGTCCCAGAAAAATTTTGACTATAAAATAATTACTTCCAAATAATGTGAAGTGTAAACGCATACAGTTTATACTGAGCCTGAAGAATGGAAGGCAGTATGGTTTGATCTGAGGAAGGAGAGCTCCCATTCCTTGAATCAAGAGCCCTTCACCCGCATCAACTTACACCCCTTTGACGAGTATAGATGAAATTTAAGTTGATATAATTGTGACTAGCAACAACGAAGAGGAACCTTATATCTGCCCATCCGGAACCATCGTCAAGTAACAACTTGGGGGGGGGGGGGGGTAAACAGAGAAGGTCACAAGACAACAACACAGTAGGGGGATAAAGTAATAATAGGGGTGACACTATTGTACCTCTCCCCCTACCATATCATCTCCAGACCTCCCCTCAAGGAAGGTTCTTGATCCTGGTGAGGAGCTCTTGATCTAGGGAATTGAATCTGTGCTCCAGTTCCTTGGACTGTCCCTGAATACCTTCCATCCCCACCCCACAACACTGTATAATCCTACAGGTTTAGCACTCCCCCATGATTATAATCAGACCTTCTCTACTTCTCTCTCCCCAACTGTGACTTGACAATGCTTCAGGATGGACAAGAGTGTCATCTTAAGGATGGTCTTCCAAACACACGGTATTGTGACTTGTTATTACGCTAAGTAACAATTAATCTGAAGATTAAGACACGTGCAACAGTTACGTGCCTTTACTGTTGAAATGTTCTGCCCAAACTGTGGTCTTATTCAGTCAATAACCGAGGCTGCAGGTATAGTAGTGAAATGAAAATGATGTAATCAGTCCATCAACCTGAAGAAACTGTATTTGAGGTGGTCAGTCCCTCAGGTTCATAAAATTCCAGATCATGGAGCTCAACTCTTCTCCAGGCTGAGGAACTGATCACCTCAAATACCATTGCTCCAAGGTTGATAGACTAGTTACATCATCTTCATTTCACTACTACACTACAGCCTCTGTATCCGACTGAACAAGACCTCTGTGCAAGCCAAACATTTCATCAATAAAGATGCCCAACTGTTGTACACGTCTTGATCTTCAACCTGTTAATATGTTAATCCATTTCCAACAATTAATATGTTGGGTAAACAGACACAAGCACAACTAACGTAACATTTTATTGTGGCGACGTTTCACCCTCCAGGAGCTCGGTCAAGCCATTCCTGGAGAGCAAAACGCTGCCACAATAAAGTCACGTTAGTTGCACCTGTGACCTTGTTCCAAACATTGTGGGTAATTCTACCAACATTAATGTGTCAGTCATCGTTATCATCACATTAGTCACTAACTGTGCCATATAATGTATATAGAAATGATTTATATATTTTGTAAATAGTGTGCATAGTTTTTTTAACAAAGTGTTAATAAAAGAATTATTAATAAATGTGACTTAATTTTTAATGGCAGAACCTTCCATCAGAAAATATCGAGGTTTTTCAAGAACATCATAGATACTGAAGCGGCGCTGTACGACCCTTGTGGGTTTACCACTTGGTCGTGACTAATAATAATAATATAGGTAATCCTCAATTTACTCTGGGTTACGTTCTGACGAATCCATCGTAAGTTGAAATTATCATAAGTTGAAAATATTGTAAGTTAAAAATACCGTAAGTTGAATGCGAATGTATGCTTAATAAATAATTACTGTCGCTGAATAAGCCAATAAACAAATTACTGTAACTAAATACCAGTACTGAAAAGTCAATAAATGAATACAAGTTAGGGACTTGTCACCTTCATGTTGGGTGATTTACTTAAGTTTCGTCTCCAGAGTTAGCTGCTGCCGCACCGTCATAGAGCTGAAATAGCTTAAGTTGAAGACTACCTGTTTAGCCATTCAAGGAGAGGATAGCTCAAATTCCTTGGATTAAGAGACCTTCAGTATCAAAGTACCTTGCTATACAATAGCAGATCTTTGCACAATGTTGAAAACATTAAAGCACTTCTGATCCAAGGAATTGGATCTACCCTGGATCAAACCTGATAACCTACTACTCCCCACACACCTTATAACCCATACGGGTTTAATGCTCCCTCATGAATTTAAAACAACTTTAATAAGTTTCCTGCACACATTATTATGATCCATGGAAAGAAGTAAACCCGTAGAGGCTATACACCTGGGGAATGACAGGTAATCAGGTTTGATCCAGGGAAGGGGAGGAAACCTCCGCTTACTTAGATGAAGAACCCTTGAAAGAAGCACTGTCTGGACCCCTTGACACACATAATACAGCATTATCATTTCTCTTTGTATCAAAAATTAGGACCTTGACAAAGTAAAGTGGACTCTATATGTCACTAAAAACTGTATAACAAATAATTTAGACTAGGAAAATACAGCTGAGCTTTGATTTAATACATTAAATGCTCAAGTTACAAACACATTGGGGACCTCCTGTACTGTGCATAATAAATATATAAAAATGATATTATACATATTAATATAATAATTATACATGATTCAGATGATTCTCAATGTGTTTGTAAATCAAGAAGCCGCTGTATGGGGTCGTGGGTGGGTGGTAATAGCAACTCTGGTGTATGGAGATGACGGTATTTTTCCACAATAACATAAATGCTGAATTCTTCAATTAACGCACATTGTCTGTTGATACCCAATCAATTCTTCCAGTGGAGCGTCCGCTGTATTTCCAGTCCAATAAATTGAAATCCACTAAACCAATGGTTTTCTGTATATTAAATCTCAATAAAGACTAAATTTAGAATTTTGTAAATTCTCTTTACACAAGAAAATATTCTTAAACACTTTGATAAATAGTGAGAAAAGTTGGACTGCCACGAGTAGTAAATAAAACTGTGATATCTTGACTTGCATGAAGTCCACTCATGGCTGAAATATACAGTACAACCTCGATATAAGGGACCGTTGAAATAACTGACAAAATCCAAGTAAACTGCACTCTGAATTCCTTCACTAAATCGTAATAACACGATTGCAAATAAGCCACAGAACAGGTGGGATTTGAACCCATGGCGAGTCGTAAAATTCCAAGTCACTTCATAAGCCACTCACCATGGGTTTAACCGTGGTTTAATTCCTCTAGTTTTAATTTGATCGCAGTACATTGCATGTACAGTGCCATATTACGTACTGAGAAGAGTACTTTACTGCTTTCTGCTATATTTTCGACGTTCTAATTTAACAGGGACTCGACTAATTTAACGAAGACTCGGATAATCTCCCCTACTGGTCCATTACATCAAGTTTACCGTCCAATAAAGACCTCACTACATTATTTACCACATCAGTAGATATAAACACACGTTTTAATTCTACCAAGCACATACATCCAGTAATGGTACAGTTAATAAGGCTTCTGACACTTGTTTTAAGTGAGACAGTACTGTGCAGGTATTACACTCATTAACACACTTTGCAGTTTGTCTTTCATATAATATTAAGCAATATTGAATTCATGACTGGTAAATTAACTAGTTTATGGGATAAATTGACACAACTTACTGAGTGCATTTTCAGGCGTAGCAAGCGTGTCTGTCAAGCACTTAGTGGATGAGGAATTGGATCTCTGTCATGCACTTAGTGGATGAGGAACTGGATCTCTGCCATGCACTTAGTTGATGAGGAATTGAGATCTCTGTCTTGTGTTTAGTGGATGAGCAACTGAATCCGCCATCCGCAAAGAATTATTTCTGCTACTTCCTGAAGTGGCACAGGAAGCATATCTGCCATGCGCTTAGCAGATGAGAAATTTGACCTCCACCATGTCCTGTGCTCACCCACTTGGGTTTACCACTTCACTTCGATAATAATTAAACAGGAGAGTTGAACACAATAACACTCTTGTCTTCTGACACGCTCACAATCTTACTGCTGTCCTGGCTATACTTGGCACACCACACCTGCAATAAACAAAATATCAAATAAAATTCAATAGCAAAATTCCGAACCATACACTAGTGTATTAAATACAATGTGTATATCATTATTATATCATTATTGTGTATAATATCATTTTTTTTTTTTCAACAAGTCGCCCGTCTCCCACCGAGGGCGACCCACCGAGGCAGGGCGACCCACCGAGGCAGGGCGACCCACCGAGGCAGGGCGACCCACCGAGGCAGGGCGACCCACCGAGGCAGGGCGACCCACCGAGGCAGGGCGACCCACCGAGGCAGGGCGACCCACCGAGGCAGGGCGACCCACCGAGGCAGGGCGACCCACCGAGGCAGGGCGACCCACCGAGGCAGGGTGACCCACTGAGGCAGGGCGACCCACCGAGGCAGGGTGACCCACCGAGGCAGGGCGACCCACCGAGGCAGGGCGACCCACCGAGGCAGGGCGACCCACCGAGGCAGGGCGACCCACCGAGGCAGGGCGACCCACCGAGGCAGGGCGACCCACCGAGGCAGGGCGACCCACCGAGGCAGGGTGACCCACCGAGGCAGGGTGACCCACCGAGGCAGGGTGACCCACCGAGGCAGGGTGACCCACCGAGGCAGGGTGACCCACCGAGGCAGGGTGACCCACCGAGGCAGGGTGACCCACCGAGGCAGGGTGACCCACCGAGGCAGGGTGACCCAAAAAGAAAGAAAATCCCCAAAAAGAAAATACTTTCATCATCATTCAACACTTTCACCACACTCGCACATTATCACTGTTTTTGCAGAGGTGCTCAGAATACAACAGTTTAGAAGCATATACGTATAAAGATACACAACATATCCCTCCAAACTGCCAATATCCCAAACCCCTCCTTTAAAGTGCAGGCATTGTACTTCCCATTTCCAGGACTCAAGTCCGACTATATGAAAATAACCGGTTTCCCTGAATCCCTTCACTAAATATTACCCTGCTCACACTCCAACAGATCGTCAGGTCCCAAGTACCATTCGTCTCCATTCACTCCTATCTAACATGCTTACACACGCTTGCTGGAAGTCCAAGCCCCTTGCCCACAAAACCTCCTTTACCCCCTCTCTCCAACCCTTTCGAGGACGACCCCTACCTCGCCTTCCTTCCCCTATAGATTTATATGCTTTCCATGTCATTCTACTTTGATCCATTCACTCTAAATGACCAAACCACCTCAACAACCCCTCTTCTGCCCTCTGACTAATACTTTTATTAACTCCACACCTTTTCCTAATTTCCACACTCCGAATTTTCTGCATAATATTTACACCACACATTGCCCTTAAACAGGACATCTCCACTGCCTCCAACCGTCTCCTCGCTGCTGCATTTACCACCCAAGCTTCACACCCATATAAGAGTGTTGGTACTACTATACTTTCATACATTCCCTTCTTTGCCTCCATAGATAACGTTTTTTGACTCCACATATACCTCAACGCACCACTCACCTTTTTTCCCTCATCAATTCTATGATTAACCTCATCCTTCATAAATCCATCCGCCGGCACGTCAACTCCCAAGTATCTGAAAACATTCACTTCTTCCATACTCCTCCTCCCCAATTTGATATCCAATTTTTCTTTATCTAAATCATGTGATACCCTCATCACCTTACTCTTTTCTATGTTCACTTTCAACTTTCTACCTTTACACACATTCTCAAACTCATCCACTAACCTTTGCAATTTTTCTTTAGAATCTCCCATAAGCACAGTATCATCAGCAAAAAGTAACTGTGTCAATTCCCATTTTTAATTTGATTCCCCAAAATTTAATCCCACCCCTCTCCCGAACACCCTAGCATTTACTTCTTTTACAACCCCATCTATAAATATATTAAACAACCATGGTGACATTACACATCCCTGTCTAAGACCTACTTTTACTGGGAAGTATTCTCCCTCTCTTCTACACACCCTAACCTGAGCCTCACTATCCTCATAAAAGCTCTTTACAGCATTTAGTAACTTACCACCTATTCCATATACTTGCAACATCTGCCACATTGCTCCTCTATCCACTCTATCATATGCCTTTTCTAAATCCATAAATGCAATAAAAACTTCCCTACCTAAATACTGTTCACATATATGCTTCAATGTAAACACTTGATCTACACATCCCCTACCCACTCTAAAACCTCCTTGCTCATCCGCAGTCTTACATTCTGTCTTACCTCTAATTCTTTCAATTACAACCCTACCGTACACTTTTCCTGGTATACTCAGTAAACTTATTCCTCTGTAATTTTTACAGTCTCTTTTGTCCCTCTTCCCTTTATATAAAGGGACTATACATGCTCTCCGCCAATCCCTAGGTACCTTCCCCTCTTTCATACATTTATTAAACAAAAGTACCAACCACTCCAACACTATATCCCCCCCTGCTTTTAACATTTCTGTCATGATCCCATCAGTTCCAGCTGCTTTACCCCCTTTCATTCTACGTAATGCCTCACGTACCTCCACCACACTTACATTCTGCTCTTCTTCACTCCTAAAAGATGGTATACCTCCCCGACCAGTGCATGAAATTACCGCCTCTCTTTCTTCCTTAACATTTAAAAGTTCCTCAAAATATTCTTGCCATCCACCTAATACCTCCCTCTCCCCATCTACTAACTCCCCTACTCTGTTTTTAATGGACAAATCCATACTTTCCCTAGGCTTTCTTAACTTGTTTAACTCACTCCAAAAATTTTTCTTATTTTCATTAAAATTTCTTGACAGTGCCTCTCCCACTCTATCATCTGCTCTCCTTTTGCACTCTCTCACCACTCTCTTTACCTTTCTTTTACTCTCCATATACTCTGCTTTTCTTATAACACTTCTGCTTTGTAAAAACCTCTCATAAGCTACCTTTTTCTCTTTTATCACACCCTTTACTTCATCATTCCACCAATCACTCCTCTTTCCACCTGCCCCCACCCTCCTATAACCACAAACTTCTGCCCCACATTCTATATACTGCATTTTTAAAACTATTCCAACCCTCTTCAACCCCCCCACTACTCATCTTTGCACTAGCCCACCTTTCTGCCAATAGTTGCTTATATCTCACCCGAACTTCCTCCTCCCTTAGTTTATGCACTTTCACCTCCCTCTTACTTGTTGTTGCCACCTTCCTCTTTTCCCATCTACCTCTTACTCTAACTGTAGCTACAACTAAATAATGATCCGATATATCAGTTGCCCCTCTATAAACATGTACATCCTGGAGCCTACCCATCAACCTTTTATCCACCAATACATAATCTAATAAACTACTTTCATTATGTGCTACATCATACCTTGTATATTTATTTATCCTCTTTTTCATAAAATATGTATTACTTATTACCAAATCTCTTTCTACACATAGCTCAATTAAAGGCTCCCCATTTACATTTACCCCTGGCACCCCAAATTTACCTACTACTCCCTCCATAACATTTTTACCCACTTTAGCATTGAAATCCCCAACCACCATTACTCTTCACACTTGATTCAAAACTCCCCATGCATTCACTCAACATTTCCCAAAATCTCTCTCTCCCCTCTACACTTCTCTCTTCTCCAGGTGCATACACGCTTATTATAACCCACTTTTCACATCTAATCTTTATTTTACTCCACATAATCCTTGAATTAATACATTTATAGTCTCTCTTTTCCTGCCATAGCTTATCCTTCAACATTATTGCTACTCCTTCTTTAGCGCTAACTCTATTTGAAACCCCTGACCTAATCCCATTTATTCCTCTCCACTGAAACTCTCCCACCCCCTTCAGCTTTGTTTCACTTAAAGCCAGGACATCCAGCTTCCTCTCATTCATAACATCCACAATCATCTCTTTCTTATCATTTGCACAACATCCACGCACATTCAGACTTCCCACACTGACAATTTTCTTCTTCTTATTCTTTTTAGTAATCTTTACAGGAAAAGAGGTTACTAGCCCATTGTTCCCGGCATTTTAGTTGACTTTTACAACACGCATGGCTTACGGAGGAAAGATTCTTATTCCACTTCCCCATGGATATAAAAGGAAAAGTAATAAGACCAAGAACTATTAAGATAAAATCAAAGAAAACTCAGATGAGTGTGTATAAATAAACGTGTACATGTATGTGTAGTGTGACCTAAGTGTAAGTAGAAGTAGCAAGACGTACCTGTAATCTTGCATATTTATGAGACAGACAAAAGACATCAGCAATACTACCATCATGTAAAACAATCACAGGCTTCGTTTTACACTCACTTGGCAGGACGGTAGTACCTCCCTGGGTGGTTGCTGTCTACCAACCTACTACCTATAATATAATATAATATAATATAATATAATATAATATATTATTATGTATAATTCAGGAGGTCCCCAATGTGTTCGTAAGTTGTGGACTTACTGTATCAAACGACTTATATTTGGCATTACTTTATAACTCCCAGAGGACAAAAATCATTTCCAAACGACCACAAGAGGCCTACATCACCCTAAGTCAGTACTGTTTATTACAATTATATAGGCAATGCTCGACTTACAAATGTTGAAGTGAACACATTGTAAATTGAAAATACTTTAAGATGAATATGAATGATACGGCAAATAAATGATTGTCACTGAGTAAGTCAATAAACAAATAATTAATGAAACTAAATACAAGTATTGAAAAGTAAGTAATTGAGTACAAGTCAGGAACTTGTTACCTTCATGTTGGGTAGTTATCTTAAGTTACATCTCCAGAGTAACTGCTGCCGCACCGTTCAAAAGTCAAAATAACATGAGTCCAGGAGCACCTGTATTTATTAATGGTATAAAATACAGTGGTACCTCGAGTTACGAACTCAATTTGTTCCAGAAGGCTGTTCTAGTGGCGATACTGAACGAATTTGTTCCCATAAGGAATAATGTACAGTGGAGCCTCAAATATCGAACTTTCTTCGGTCCAGAAGGCTGTTTGAGTGCCTTTACCGAATGAATTTATTCCCATCGGAATAATGTAAATTAGATTAGTCCATTTCAGACCCTCAAAAATACACTTATAAAAGCACTTACAAATGTACATTTACATAATTGGTCGTGTTGGGAGCAGTCTGATTTTTGAGGTTCCACTGTATATTACATTAGTACATCTCAGACCCCCAAAAATACACTTACATAATTATTCAAGTTGGGTACTCAAGGTACCATTGTACTAACAACAGGGAGGAAGAGGCTAATAACCTCTTCTATATAAATTACGCAATGTAAAAGGGAGAAAAAACTTCACAGGTCTTTTTTTTTTTCGGGTCACCCGGCCTTGGTGGGACACAGCCAGAGTTTTAAAAAAAAAAAATACTGATTTGATGAATATAACAACGATGATCCCTGGTGGGGGGGTCAATATATACATATCAATTAATCTTTCGAGTTTGTGTCTTCATGTGGGTTATTATTAAGCACTATCGCAGATACAGTGGTACCCTGAGTTTCGTACACCTCCCGACTCAAACAATTATGTAAGGGTAATATTGTAAGTACTTTTGTAAGTGTATTTTTGGGGGTCTGAACCGGACTAATTTAATTTACATTATTCCTTATGGAAATAAATTCATTTGGTAATGGCCCTCGAACAGCCGTCTGGGACGAATTATGGCTGAAACTTGAGGTACCGCTGTGTATAAAACGAGGTGATGACCAAAATTAATGATGAGGTCATAAGTTTGGAACTACAGATCAACAACGAATCAACAAACCTTTACCAAACTTACTTATTTGCAGCAACGTTTTGCCCTCCAGAAGCTTTGTCAAGCCACTCCTGAAGAGCGAAACATTGCCACAATAAAATGTCACATCAGTTGGGCTCGTGTTCTTTTATCTAACATATTGTCAGTAATTCGACCAATACTCACATTACAAACGCATACGCCAATACTGACCTGGTCGTGGTGATCCTTGAAGGTGTGGACGCAATTTCGCTGAGCGAAATCCCACACTTTGACGGTGTGGTCGGAAGACGAGGACGTGAAATGTTGCTGGTCGGGAGCAAAGTCCACACTCAACACCCAGGAGCCGTGGCCGGACAGTGTACACGCCAGGTTGCTGCTCTTGCTGGTGATAAACAAAATTGTATTAACGTTGGTAGAATTACCGACAATACGTTCAGTAAATGGTCACAAGTGCGACTAATATGGCATTTTATTGTGGCAACATTTCACTCTCCAGGAGCTTCATCAAGCTTGATAAAGCTTGATAAAGCTTCCGGAGAGTAAAACTTTGCCGCAATAAAATGTCACATTAGTTGTACTTGTGTCCTTTTACTTAACATAAACAAAGTTATTTAGCATACTAAGTCTGACTCGGTATCATCTAGAATGTTCTTCACATAAACCACAAACGGTACTTTTAACAAACGAATACAGTGCGTCAACTTACGAAAAAGTTAAGAATCTTTTGTATTGTGCATATCATTATTATATTATTATTGTGTATATTATTATTATATAATTATTATACACAATTCAGGAGCTCCCAATATGTTCGTAAGTCAAAGACTTACTATAATCACACAAATCCAGAGGATTTTTCTATTATCAAATGGAACAAATCCAAAGTTCTCATAGACAGCTAGGAGTATTTTGTAATGCAAGGACAGATGAAGGTCATGTGAACTATGATGCCAACACACTTTAGGCAACATAGCTATTCACTGAATGATGGTGAATGACTTTGCGTTTTATGCTCCAGTTAGCCAACCTTGCCGAGAGACGCCCAGCGTGTCGAAAATAAAAGCTGGTAATAGAAGTAGTACATCTTTTATTAACATGAGAGTTATTCACAGTATTCATCCGCAGGTGGTCCATTAAAATCCAGCTGGTTGTGATGTATGGTCGCTCGGAATGCTTCACACAATAACCAGCTTTCTTTGGCTCGTACAATTGCAATTAACAAACTTTGTTTCTACAAAGTGTATAAATGTATATAAACTACGACACATATAAACTACGACACATATAAACTACAACACATATAAACTACAACACATAAACTACGACACATATAAACTACAACACATATAAACTATGACACATATAAACTACGACACATATAAACTATGACACATATAAACTACGACACATATAAACTGCGACACACATAAACTACGACACACATAAACTACGTACTATACAGAAAGTCCATTACGATGGAAAGGATTTCAGGCAGCCTTAAAACTATTAACTAAAGTATGAGAATACGAATACTTACATTGTGATGAAAACGTTGTAACTCAAAAATATCGTAAAGCAAAAATATCGTAAGTTGAAAATATTGTAAGTCAAATATGAATGTGATACGCTAAATAAATACTAAATAACTACTGTCATTGAATAAATCAATCAATAAATAATTTCTGTAACTAACTACATACATACCAGTATTGAAAATAAAATAAATACACGTTAGAGACTTGCCACCTCCAGGCTGGATAATTATCTTCAGTTCCATCTCCAGGGTACAGTGGTACCCATCATCTCCAGAGTACAGTGGTACCCATCATCTCCAGAGTACAGTGGTACCCATCATCTCCAGGGTACAGTGGTACCCATCATCTCCAGGGTACAGTGGTACCCATCATCTCCAGAGTACAGTGGTACCCATCATCTCCAGAGTACAGTGGTACCCATCATCTCCAGAGTACAGTGGTACCCATCATCTCCAGAGTACAGTGGTACCCATCATCTCCAGGGTACAGTGGTACCCATCATCTCCAGGGTACAGTGGTACCCATCATCTCCAGAGTACAGTGGTACCCATCATCTCCAGAGTACAGTGGTACCCATCATCTCCAGAGTACAGTGGCACCCATCATCTCCAGGGTACAGTGGTACCCAGTTTCATCTCCAGGGTACAGTGGTACCCAGTTTCATCTCCAGGGTACAGTGGTACCCAGTTTCATCTCCAGAGTACAGAGGTACCCATCATCTCCAGGGTACAGTGGTACCCAGTTTCATCTCCAGGGTACAGTGGTACCCAGTTTCATCTCCAGAGTACAGTGGTACCCAGTTTCATCTCCAGAGTACAGTGGTACCCAGTTTCATCTCCAGGGTACAGTGGTACCCAGTTTCATCTCCAGAGTACAGTGGTACCCAGTTTCATCTCCAGAGTACAGTGGTACCCAGTTTCATCTCCAGGGTACAGTGGTACCCAGTTTCATCTCCAGAGTACAGTGGTACCCAGTTTCATCTCCAGAGTACAGTGGTACCCAGTTTCATCTCCAGAGTACAGAGGTACCCATCATCTCCAGGGTACAGTGGTACCCAGTTTCATCTCCAGAGTACAGTGGTACCCAGTTTCATTTCCAGAGTACAGTGGTACCCAGTTTCATCTCCAGAGTACAGTGGTACCCAGTTTCATCTCCAGAGTACAGAGGTACCCATCATCTCCAGGGTACAGTGGTACCCAGTTTCATCTCCAGAGTACAGTGGTACCCAGTTTCATTTCCAGAGTACAGTGGTACCCAGTTTCATTTCCAGAGTACAGTGGTACCCAGTTTCATCTCCAGAGTACAGTGGTACCCAGTTTCATTTCCAGAGTACAGTGGTACCCAGTTTCATTTCCAGAGTACAGTGGTACCCAGTTTCATTTCCAGAGTACAGTGGTACCCATCATCTCCAGGGTACAGTGGCACCCATCATCTCCAGAGTACAGTGGTACCCAGTTTCATTTCCAGAGTATAGTGGTACCCAGAGTTTCGGCCATAATTCGTTCCAGAAGGCTGATCAAGTGCCATTAAGAAACAAATATGTTCCCATAAAGAATAGTGTAAATTAGATTAGTCACACCCCCAAAAATACACTTACAATAATACACTTACATAATTGTTCAAGTCGGGAGCTGTACGAAACTCGGGGTACCATTGTAATTGTTTTTACATCATCGTATAGTTCAAATATATTAAGTCGAACCAATGTAAGTCGAGCACCTGTAGTACACAACGATTTCTGGGCTATGCATGTTATTTCTGAAACGGCGAAAGCATCAACAATTCATCAAAATATTTGCCGGTGATGTCCTATATCGATACAATTTAATTTCTTACTGCAGTATACAAAATGTAGTTTGTATGCTAATTAAATATTTTTAGGCATGACAGAAAGCCACTAGCGTGAGGTGCACTAGTGTGAGGTGCACTAGCGTGAGGTGCACTAGCGTGAGGTGCACTAGCGTGAGGTGCACTAGCATGAGGTGCACTAGCGTGCGGTGCACTAGCATGAGGTGCACTAGCATGAGGTGCACTAGCGTGAGGTGCACTAGCATGAGGTGCACTAGCGTGAGGTGCACTAGCGTGAGGTGCACTAACGTGAGGTGCACTAGCATGAGGTGCACTAGCGTGAGGTGCACTAGCGTGAGGTGCACTAGCATGAGGTGCACTAGCATGAGGTGCACTAGCGTGAGGTGCACTAGCGTGAGGTGCACTAGCGTGAGGTGCACTAGCGTGAGGTGCACTAGCGTGAGGTGCACTAGCATGAGGTGCACTAGCGTGAGGTGCACTAGCGTGAGGTGCACTAGCGTGAGGTGCACTAGCATGAGGTGCACTAGCATGAGGTGCACTAACATGAGGTGCACTAGCGTGAGGTGCACTAGCGTGAGGTGCACTAGCGTGAGGTGCACTAGCGTGAGGTGCACTAGCGAGAGGTGCACTAGCGTGAGGTGCACTAGCGTGAGGTGCACTAGCATGAGGTGCCCTAGTGTGAGGTGAACTAGCATGAGGTGCACTAGCATGAGGTGAACTAGCATGAGGTGCACTAGCATGAGGTGCACTAGCATGAGGTGAACTAGTGTGAGGTGCACTAGCATGAGGTGCACTAGCATGAGGTGCACTAGCATGAGGTGCACTAGCATGAGGTGAAGTAGCATGAGGTGCACTAGCGTGAGGTGCACTAGCGTGAGGTGCACTAGCGTGAGGTGCACTAGCGTGAGGTGCACTAGCGTGAGGTGCACTAGCGTGAGGTGCACTAGTGTGAGGTGCACTAGCGTGAGGTGCACTAGCGTGAGGTGCACTAGTGTGAGGTGCACTAGCGTGAGGTGCACTAGCATGAGGTGCACTAGCGTGAGGTGCACTAGCGTGAGGTGCACTAGCGTGAGGTGCACTAGCGTGAGGTGCACTAGCGTGAGGTGCACTAGCGTGAGGTGCACTAGCATGAGGTGCACTAGCGTGAGGTGCACTAGCGTGAGGTGCACTAGCGTGAGGTGCACTAGCGTGAGGTGCACTAGCATGAGGTGCCCTAGTGTGAGGTGAACTAGCATGAGGTGCACTAGCATGAGGTGAACTAGCATGAGGTGCACTAGCATGAGGTGCACTAGCATGAGGTGAACTAGTGTGAGGTGCACTAGCATGAGGTGCACTAGCATGAGGTGCACTAGCATGAGGTGCACTAGCATTAGGTGAAGTAGCATGAGGTGCACTAGCGTGAGGTGCACTAGCGTGAGGTGCACTAGCGTGAGGTGCACTAGCGTGAGGTGCACTAGCGTGAGGTGCACTAGCGTGAGGTGCACTAGCGTGAGGTGGCACTAGCGTGAGGTGCACTAGCGTGAGGTGCACTAGCGTGAGGTGCACTAGCGTGAGGTGCACTAGCGTGAGGTGCACTAGCGTGAGGTTGCACTAGCGTGAGGTGCCACTAGCGTGAGGTGCACTAGCGTGAGGTGCACTAGCGTGAGGTGCACTAGCGTGAGGTGCACTAGCGTGAGGTGCACTAGCGTGAGGTGCACTAGCGTGAGGTGCACTAGCGAGAGGTGCACTAGCGTGAGGTGCACTAGCGTGAGGTGCACTAGCATGAGGTGCCCTAGTGTGAGGTGAACTAGCATGAGGTGCACTAGCATGAGGTGAACTAGCATGAGGTGCACTAGCATGAGGTGCACTAGCATGAGGTGAACTAGTGTGAGGTGCACTAGCATGAGGTGCACTAGCATGAGGTGCACTAGCATGAGGTGCACTAGCATGAGGTGAAGTAGCATGAGGTGCACTAGCGTGAGGTGCACTAGCGTGAGGTGCACTAGCGTGAGGTGCACTAGCGTGAGGTGCACTAGCGAGAGGTGCACTAGCGTGAGGTGCACTAGCGCGAGGTGCACTAGAATGAGGTGCACTAGCATGAGGTGCACTAGCGTGAGGTGCACTAGCGTGAGGTGCACTAGTATGAGGTGCACTAGCTTGAGGTGCACTAGTATGAGGTGCACTTTGGGTAGACTGATCCTAATACCTACAGAATACAGATAAAGAAGACATGGATTATTTAGACAATTACCTTAAACCTGTATAAACCCAAGCTACCACAACTGTAGCTTGGGTTTATTATGTATTATAGCTGTATTCTCTTGTACTATTCACACATCACACATTCATGTGATATCCTGTATCACTACAGTCAATCACTTTAAAAACTACACAGACCCAGACTACAGCATCAGATACAGTAATTGTATTATGTTGTATTACTTACATGTCGTACATTTTCATGTGACCGTCATCGGCGGCTGTGAGAAGGAGCTGCGAGTCAGGAGAGAAGGTGATGGAGCGAATCGTCATGGCGTGTCCCTCTAGGGTATGCACCAACTTGCCACTCTCCACATCAAAAACGTTGATGAAGCCGTCAATTGCTCCGCTGGCGATGTATTTCCCATCTCGACTCTAAAGACAAAGATTAATTGCCCTAGATATGGTAACCATATCAGGGCCACCCTGCCTTGGTAGGAATCGGCCAGTGTGATAATAAAAATAAAATCTAGGGCAAAAAAAATTTCCCTCGCAATGGAAAACGGTCATGACGACGACTCTGTTTCTTGGATTAATTGCTCAGCACAAACATGAAAAAATCCTGTATACAGTGGTACCTCGGGATACAAACACCTCAATACACAAACAATTATGTAAGTGTATTTATGTAAGTGCTTTTGTAAATGTATTTTTGGGGGTCTGAATCGGATTAATGTAATTTACATTATTCCTTATGGGAACAAATTCGTTTGGTAACGGCACTCAAACAGCCTTCTGGAACGAATTAAATTCGTATCCCAAGGTACCACGGTATACAACTTCCGTGGAAGGTTATGAGAGTTTTTATAAATGTGGCGTAAAAGGCACCCCAGACAGGGAAGAATCAGATGAGAAACAACAGTCTTGTGTCATGCTAAAACTCTCTCTTTTTATGTTTTTAAGTAACATCAAAAATAGTTCAAATGGAGTAATTCTTTTTGGAAATGTTTAGTTATTTCTCATAATTTATGGTTATTTTTCTTAATTTGTAGCTATTTATCCATTTTTATTCATTTTTTGTTATTTTTGATCATTTATATTTTTTCTGTATTTTTTAGTCATTTTTCGTGATTTTAAGTTATTTACGTGAAAATGTAATGAGGCAGGTCAGGTGAACAGGTGACGGTGAAAGTTAGGTAAACAGGTTTGACTCAAAGAGGGAGAGGGTAGCTCCAACACTTTGGATCAAGAGCCCTCCTCTGGCCTTGAGGCACTGGCACTCCTTGCAAGGAGTGTCACTACAGTATAACATCACCTGGTAACTCACATATGCAATTGAGTAGGTAAATCGTCCTCTTGTGTCTAAAGTTGTCACGTGACGTCCACCATCCACTGAATAGACATTGATCTTCCCGGCATGATTTCCTGAAGCTATGAGACTACCCTCAGGAGAAAATACCACCGACCAGGCTTCAACAGGGCCACAGTCAATCATGTGCAGCTGAAAAGAATTGACCTTTAACCTCAGGCTTCAACAGGGCCACAGTTGATCATGTGAAGCTAGAAAGAACTGACCTTTAACCTCAAACAGATTAAGTCATTTAGAAAACCCACAAGTCCTTCAGCCCAGAGTAGACCCCAGGTTGGGGGACCGATTACCTCAAACTCCTCCTCATCTACCACCATTCACGTCTGTACCGGTGTTACGAACATAGCCTGATGGCCCTCGGGTGTTAGTGCTTTTCGTAACAAATGAACGGGATAATCATGTCGAGGGGGCATCACTCATAGAAGGAAAAGGCATTATCACAGTTCCTGGTTAATTTAGTAATTACCTTAATAACCACTTATATTTAATGACTTAAATTATTTAATACATTACAACTTTCTCATATCAACATTATGAGTTTGACATGTGTCACACGTCTCATTATCACCTCACTGTAATAAACTTAGTACAGTGGACCCCCGCATAGCGAACGCCTTGCATAGCGAACAATCCGCATAGCGGACGCTTTGTTCGCTAAAATTTTGCCCCGCATAGTGGACAAAAACCCGCTCAGCGGCCTTCGTCCGAGACGCGTCCAATGTGCGCCCTCAGCCAGCCTCACATGTGCCGCCCGTCCCATTGTTTACCAGCCAGCCTCCGCGGTAACATTCAAGCATACACTCGGAATATTTCGTATTATTACAGTGTTTTCGGTGCTGTTTTCTGGAAAATAAGTGACCATGGGCCCCAAGAAAGCTTCTAGTGCCAACCCTACACCTCAAAGGGTAAGAATACCCATTGAAATGAAGAAAGAGATCATTGATAAGTATGAAAGTGAGTACGTATCACCGACCTGGTCAGGTTGTACAAGAAACCAAAATCAACCATCTCTTCTATTGTGGGCAAGAAAACGGCAATCAAGGAAGCTGTTGTTGCCAAAGGTTTAACTGTGTTTTCGAAACAAAGATCGCAAGTGATGGAAGATGTTGAGAGACTCTTATTGGTGTGGATAAATGAAAAACAGCTAGCAGAGATAGCGTCTCTCAAGCGATCATATGTGAAAAGGCTAGGAAGTTGCATGACGATTTAATTAAAAAAATGCCTGCAACTAGTGATGATGTGAGTGAATTTAAGGCCAGCAAAGGTTGTTTGAGAGATTTAAGAAGCGTAGTGGCATCCATAGTGTGATACGGCATGGTGAGGCTGCCAGTTCGGACCACAAAGCGGCTGAAAAATATGTGCATGAATTCAAGGAGTACATAGAAACTGAAGGACTGGAACCTGAACAAGTGTTTTAATTGTGATGAAACAGGCCTGTTCTGGAAGAAAATGCCAAGCAGGACCTACATTACTCAGGAGGAAAAGGCACTCCCAGGACATAAGCCTATGAAAGACAGGCTTACTTTGTTGATGTGTGCCAATGCTAGTGGTGATTGCAAAGTTAAGCCTTTATTAGTGTATCACTCTGAAACTCCCAGAGCGTTCAGGCAAAAGAATGTCCTCAAGGATAATTTGTGTGTGCTGTGGAGGCAAACAGTAAGGCATGGGTCACTAGGGAATTTTTTCTATAACTGGTTACACCATGCATTGCCCCCAATGTGAAAGATTACCTAACTGAAAAGAAATTAGACCTTAAGTGCCTCCTGGTGTTAGACAATGCCCCTGGTCATCCTACAGACGTGGCAGAGCGACTTTATGGGGACATGAGCTTCATTAAGGTGAAGTTTTTGCCTCCTAATACCACTCCTCTCCTGCAGCCCATGGACCAGCAGTCATTTCCAACTTCAAGAAACTGTACACAAAAGCTCTGTTTCAAAAGTGCTTTGAAGTGACCACAGACACTCGATTGACTCTAAAAGAGTTTTGGAAGGATCACTTTAATATCCTCAATTGTGTAACCTTATAGGTAAGGCTTGGGAGGGAGTGACTAGAGAACCTTGAACTCTGCTTGGACGAAACTGTGGCCAGAATGTGTAGACAAAAGGGATTTTGAAGGGTTTGAGGCTAACCCTGAGAGTAGTAGTATACCAGTTGAGGAATCAATTGTGGAATTGGGGAAGTCCTTGGGTTGGAGGTTAGTGGGAGGATGTGGAAGAGTTGGTGGGGAGGACAATGAAGAACTAACCACTGATGAGCTGATAGATCAACTTCAAGAGCAAGAGGCCAGACCTGGGGAAACTGGTTCAAAGGAGGGGAGAGAGAAATTGAAGGAATTGCCTACTTCAAAGATTAAGGAAATGTGTGCAAAATGGCTTGAAGTGCAAACCTTTTTTGATGAAAAATCACCCTCACACAGCTATTGCAAGCCGTGCTGGTGACTGTTACAATGACCACTGTTTGTGAACCACTTTAGACAAATCATAAAGGATACGAGAGGTACAGGCCACTATGGACAGATATGTTGTGCGAAAGAAGTCCAGTGACTCTGAAGCTGGTCCAGTGGCAAAAGAGAAGGGAAGTAACCCCAGAAAAGGACTTGCTACCTCAAGTCCAATGGAAGGGATTCGCCCTTCTAAACACTAACACTCCTCTCCCCTCCTCCCATCTCATCAATCATCACCAGATCTTCAATAAAAGTAAGTGTCATGTAATTGTGCATGCCTTTTCAGTTGTGTGTACTAAAATTAACATTTTTTTGTGGTAAAAAAATTTTTTTTTCATACTTTTGGGTGTCTTGCACGGATTAATTTTATTTCCATTATTTCTTATGGGGAAAATTAATTCGCATAGCGAACATTTCGCATAACGGCCAGCCCTCTTGCACGGATTAAGTTCGCTATGCGGGGGTCCACTGTAGTTACAAAGGCTCTCTGTGAGTCAGGAAATACGGGTATGTACAAACACTGGCATTCTTTAAAAACTCAAACACACTACTGTTAAGAGATATTCCACAGAGTTCAGTCTCCGATAATTCCTCTTATAGCACTGAGACTTGCTCACTTATTCTTAGTTTCTTTATGAGACTCTCAACCGCCTTCTCCGACCGAAATAAACTCTTTCCACGAAAGTCTTGGTAGCTTCAAGGGAGGTGAATGGTGGTTTTTAGCTGGATATTTCCCAAGACCCTTCCTGGTCCAGAGGAAAATAGGAACTGAATAAGGTGAGGCTTTACCAGCCAACTTTGACTCGGTCGGAGCCGGGGTTGAGCGGCTCAAAACGCCTACTGGTGCTTAGCCAGGTCGCACCACCAGTTAGACTAATTAAACAACCTACCTATGTACAAAGCTAAATAATATACAGGCAGATAATACAGTGGACCCCCGGTATTTGATGGCATCGGGATTCGATAAATCCGGTATTCGATGCATTATATCACAAAAAATTTTCCTCGGTATTCGATTGAAAACCCGGTATTCGATACGATTCGTACGAGACCTGTCCACATGTGGCCTGAACTGCCCCTTGTGTGCCAGTGTTTACAAGCCACCAGTGTGCGCGCATCTAAGGATACATTCAGTACATTCCATATTATCCATATTATCACTGTGTTTGGTGCTTGTTTCTGCAAAATAAGTCACCATGGGCCCCAAGAAAGCTTCTAGTGCCAACCCTGTGGTAAAAAGGGTGAGAATTAGTATGGAAATTAAGAAAGATTTTGAAGGGTTTGGGGCTAACCCTGAGAAGCCTATACCAGTTGTGGAATACATTGTGCCTACATCAAAAATTAAGGAAATGTGTGCACAGTGGGTTGAAGTGCAAACCTTTATGGATGAAAATCACCCTGACACAGCTATTACAATGACAATGTTGTGGCTCATTTTAGACAAATCGTAAAGGAACGGGAGGTACAGAGCTCTATGGACAGATTTGTTGTGCGACAGAGGTCCAGTGACTCTGAAGCTGGTCCTAGTGGCATTAAAAGAACAAGGGAAGTAACCCCAGAAAAAGACTTGCTGCCTCAAGTGCTAATGGAAGGGGATTCCCCTTCTAAACACTAACACCTCTCCCCTCCTCCCATCCCATCAATCATCACCAGATCTTTATTAAAGGTAAGTGTCAATTGTTTTATAGTTATTGTAATTATTCTATTGCATTAAACTTAATATTTCATGTAGTAAATTTTTTTTTTTCATACTTCTGGGTGTCTTGCACGGATTAATTTGATTTTCATTTATTCTTAATGAGGAAAATTGATTCGGTTTTCGATATTATCGGTATTCGATGAGCTCTCAGGAATGGATTAATATCGAATACCGGGGATCCACTGTATTATACAGTGGACCCCCGGTTAACGATTTTAATCCGTGCAAGAGGGGTAATTGTTATGCGAAATAATCGTTATGTGAATGAATTTTCCCCATAAGAAATAATGGAAATAAAATTAATCCGTGCAAGACATCCCAAAAGTATGAAAAAAAAATTTTTACCACATGAAATATACATTTTCCCACACACAAAGAGAAGGATACATGCACAATAGTAGTAGTACATGCACAGTATATATTGTGCATGTACTAGTCTACTAAATGAAGAATAAATGACACTTACCTTTATTGAAGATGCAGCAATGACTGATAGACACTGTGTCCTGGGAGTGCCTTTTCCTCCTAGTACTGTAGGTCCTGTTGGCATTTTCTTCCAGAACAGCTTATCACACTGTGTTGCCACTACGATTCTAAATCTCTCAAACCAACCTTTGCTGGCTTTAAATTCACCAATTGAGCACTAGTTCCAGGCATTTTTCCCTGTTCACCTGGGTGTTATCGACTTGTGTGGGTTGCATCCTGGGAGATAAGATTAAGGACCCCAATGGAATAAGTTAGACAGTCTTCGATGACACTGACTTTTTTGGGTTATCCTGGTGCAAATCCTCTGGGTTAATTTTTTCTTGGTATTCTCAATAAGCCACACCAACAACGGTGCTACAGCAGCAGCAGCAGCTGACAGTGCAGCAGCAGCAGCAGCTGACAGTGCAGCAGCAGCAGCAGCTGTACCACCAATAGTAGCGATGGTTGATTGGGGTTTATTATACAACCTGGCCAGCTCGGAGACATGCACTCCACTTTCATACTTATCAATGATCTTTTTCTTCATCTCTATTGTAATTCTCACCCTTATTGCTGTAGGGTTGGCACTAGAAGCTTTCTTGGGGCCCATGGTCACTTATTTTCCAGAAAAAGCACCGAAAACACTGTAATAATACGAAATACAGTGGACCCCCGCTTAACGATCACCTCCAAATGCGACCAATTATGTAAGTGTATTTATGTAAGTGCGTTTGTACGTGTATGTTTGGGGGTCTGAAATGGACTAATCTACTTCACAATATTCCTTATGGGAAAAAATTCGGTCAGTACTGGCACCTGAACATACTACTGGAATGAAAAAAGTTCGTTAACCGGGGGTCCACTGTATTCCGATTGTATGCTTGGATGTTACCGCGGAGGCTGGCTGGTAAACAATGCCACCGGCGGAACATGTGAGCGCGTCTCGGAAGAAAATCGGTAAGCGGGTTTTTAAGCGGTATGTGAGGCAAAATTTTTGCAATTAAAGTAAGCGGTATGCGAAATAATCGCTATGTGATGCCATCGTTATGCGGGGGTCCACTGTATAGTCGAGTAAATCCATTTTAGCTACTAATGGAATTACTCCTGAATATAATATTAAGTGAAATAGCAAAATTAAGATGTAAAAATGTCGTTGACAAAACAAGTGGAAATTTCCTCCTCAAAATAAAGAGAGATTGTAACAACTGAACTGAGGAAATTACTTGTTAGTGAAATGTCACCACAACAAAGGTCCCTAAATGTTACAAAAGTGTCTAATTCTCCAAATTGTCAGTTTTCTATATTATGTGCATCATGTAAGTGCATTGTTCCAGCCATATTATTGTTACTATTATTCTTTAAGCAGGAACACTGACATGGAGAATTTATCAATGATCAATATACTACCTCATACAAACATTGTTCCAGCCACACACAATATTTATCAATGATCAATATACTACCTCATACAAACATTGTTCCAGCCACACAATATTTATCAATGATCAATATACTACCTCATACAAACATTGTTCCAGCCACACACAATATTTATCAATGATCAATATACTACCTCATACATACATTGTTTCCAGCCACACACAATATTTATCAATGATCAATATACTACCTCATACATACATTGTTCCAGCCACACACAATATTTATCAATGATCAATATACTACCTCATACAAACATTGTTCCAGCCACACAATATTTATCAATGATCAATATACTACCTCATACAAACATTGTTCCAGCCACACACAATATTTATCAATGATCAATATACTACCTCATACATACATTGTTCCAGCCACACACAATATTTATCAATGATCAATATACTACCTCATACATACATTGTTCCAGCCACACACAATATTTATCAATGATCGGTACAGTGTCTCCTCACTTAGCGACGTACTCATTTACCAATGACTCGGACTTACAACGGTCTCTCTGACCAGTGTTCATACCTAAATAATATTAGAGCTGATTTCCTCTATTCTGTTTATTACAATATACAGTACACTACTGTATAAATATTTAAAAATACACCAGAAATGTTATTAATGGTACAAAGGTGACATTAAAACAATATCAAAGATGGTTGACACAAACTCACTACCATTATAGTATGTTCCTCACTTAGTGACGAATTTACCAATGTCGTCTTAGGAACGGAACTCCATCCTTAAGTGAGGAGAGGCTGTATTATTATTATTATTATTATAATTATTATTATTATTATTATTATAATTATTATTATTATTATTATTATTATTAATTATCATACACAATACAGGTCCCCAACGTGTTTGTAACTTGAAGATTTCTTGTAAATACTAAAAGAAGACAGTGTTAGACCCTAAGCGTCACTCTCACCTGCTCACCAGTGTGGAGATCCCACAATCGAATGGTCGAGTCAAGAGAGGAAGAGGCTGCTATGGTCCCGGCAGCATTAACGTCGACCGATATAACGCCCAGTGAGTGACCCTCGAGGGTGTGTAGGGGTGTCAGTTCGCCCTCGACGCCATCCCCCGACCACCGCCACACCCGGACTAGGTCATCCAGTCCCCCGGTGACGATGTACCTCTGTTCCCTAGGGCAGTTAAAATCTAGTTGAAACGACTTAATTTCAGGGAAAACGTGAGAGGTAATTAGCATTGATCGGAAGCAGGACAAGTAGCTTCAATGACCTGGATCAAGAGCCTTCACTAGAACATCAAGGAAACTCTCGTTGAAGGGTTCATAATCTTAAAAGTAATGTAATGGGTTATTCTTAAAAAATAATGTAACAGGTTCATAATGTAACAGGTTCATAACGTAACAGGTTCATAATGTAACAGGTTCATAATGTAACAGGTTCATAATGTAACAGGTTCATAACGTAACAGGTTCATAATGTAACAGGTTCATAATGTAACAGGTTCATAACGTAACAGGTTCATAACGTAACAGGTTCATAACGTAACAGGTTCATAACGTAACAGGTACATAATGTAACAGGTTCATAATGTAACAGGTTCATAATGTAACAGGTTCATAACGTAACAGGTTCATAACGTAACAGGTTCATAACGTAACAGGTTCATAATGTAACAGGTTCATAATGTAACAGGTTCATAATGTAACGGTTTCATAATGTAACAGTTCATAACGTAACAGGTTCATAACGTAACAGGTACATAATGTAACAGGTTCATAATGTAACAGGTTCATAATGTAACAGGTACATAATGTAACAGGTTCATAATGTAACAGGTTCATAATGTAACAGGTTCATAATGTAACAGGTTCATAACGTAACAGGTTCATAGCGTAACAGGTTCATAATGTAACAGGTTCATAATGTAACAGGTACATAATGTAACAGGTTCATAATGTAACAGGTTCATAATGTAACAGGTTCATAACGTAACAGGTTCATAATGTAACAGGTTCATAATGTAACAGGTTCATAACGTAACAGGTTCATAATGTAACAGGTTCATAATGTAACAGGTTCATAATGTAACAGGTACATAATGTAACAGGTTCATAATGTAACAGGTACATAATGTAACAGGTTCATAATGTAACAGGTTCATAACGTAACAGGTCCATAACGTAACAGGTTCATAATGTAACAGGTTCATAATGTAACAGGCACATAACGTAACAGGTTGCCAGACGACTCACGTCTCTGGTAAGTTCTGATCGTTGTCGTCGCGTCGTTCTTGGTTCTCCTTGTCTTCTCCCTCGTTCTCCTTATCGACGTTCGCCGCTTCCTTGTTCTTTTCGTCGGGGACAAAGTGGCCCCAGGCGCATGCCCAGATGCCCTCAGAGTGGGCATTTTCACGCTTCGTCAGCAGCGAAAACTGGAAAAAATGAAATGGCATTAATTTTGACGGCGAGTCAAATTTTGTGGGTAAAAACGACGGGAAAAAAAATTGGTAAATTATGGTTAATTTCGATGGCGAGTCAAATTTTGTGGGTAAAAATGACTGTAGAAACGACGGGAAAAAATAAATTGGTAAATTACGGTTAATTTCGACGGTGAGTCAAATTTCACGAAGTCGTAAAATAGAAAATTGTCGTAAAAATTCACCGACTGGACTTTTAAAGACCAAATTGTCCAATAGACATTAAAGATTGAATTACCTGTCCCGATAGATAAAAGAAAAATAGACATCACGATAGACATACTATCACACGGGGGGGAAAATATCACGGACAAGCGCTAAACCCGTAGGCCTCACACACCTCTGGGGTAATGGGGGGGGCGGAAAATCAAGTTTGATCCGAGGAAGAGTCAAGACAACTCCAGTTCCTCGGATCAGGAGCCTCCCATGGGTGGGGCTACCCCAAACCCCCCCTAATAAAAACCCATTTTTACGGACATACAAGACCTGATTTACCCCATTTACACCACCGGGATGAGGGGGGAGCCCCTCCAACGCCTCGGATCAAACAGTCCCCCCCAGGGGGTGGTAAATAAGGGGTAAAATAAGGTTAAATAAGGACCCCCAGCCTCACCTACCATGATGTTGTTGTGGTGTTTAAGGGCGACGGCAACCTGAGTCGTATTGACTAATTTTACACACTTTTACACTCATTTTACACCATTTACAGTAGTTATTTGCTCCATTACTTGTTAATTTACACTTATTTACATTTTTTAAATATTTACACAGGTATTTTAGTTTATATTAAGCTAAGAAAATGAAGTCAATGATTTACACTTATTTTACACATTTTACACTTATTTTACAACTTTTACAAAGGTTGTCTACTAAACTACATGTAAATTTACATTTATTTACGTTTTAATCAAAATTTATCTAGTTATTTTAGTTAATATTAAGGTAGTTTAGTATCTACATTATGTAGCCCATCCTGTGGGTTCAGGAACTGTACCTCAACATTACAGAGGTACATAATGGGTCCAGGAACTGTACTTCAACATTACAGAGGTACATAATGGGTCCAGGAACTGTACTTCAACATTACAGAGGTACATAATGGGTCCAGGAACTGTACCTCAACATTACAGAGGTACATAATGGGTCCAGGAACTGTACCTCAACATTACAGAGGTACATAATGGGTCTAGGAACTGTACTTCAACTTTACAGAGGTACATAATGGGTCCAGGAACTGTACCTCAACATTACAGAGGTACATAATGGGTCCAGGAACTGTACCTCAACATTACAGAGGTACATAATGGGTCCAGGAACTGTACTTCAACATTACAGAGGTACATAATGGGTCCAGGGACTGTACCACAACATTACAGAGGTACATAATGGTCCAGGAACTGTACCTCAACATTACAGAGGTACATAATGGTCCAGGGACTGTACCTCAACATTACAGAGGTACATAGTGGTCCAGGAACTGTACTTCAACATTACAGAGGTACATAATGGTCCAGGAACTGCATCTCAACATTACAGAGGTACATAATGGGTCCAGGAACTGTACCTCAACATTACAGAGGTACATAATGGTCCAGGAACTGTACCTCAACATTACAGAGGTACATAATGGTCCAGGAACTGTACCTCAACATTACAGAGGTGCATAATGGTCCAGGAACTGTACCTCAACATTACAGAGGTACATAATGGGTCCAGGAACTGTACCTCAACATTACATATACCCCTGGTATACTACTAGTATACTCCAGGTATATTGGTATACCCCAGGTATACCCCTGGTATACCCCAGGTATTCCCCAGGTATACCCCAGATATACCCCAGGTATACCCCAGATATACCCCTGGTATACCCCAGGTATACCCCAGGTATACCCCAGATATACCCCTGGTATATCCCAGGTATACCTCAGGTATACCCAAATACCCCAGGTATACCACAGATATACCCCAGGTATACCCCAGATATACCCCTGGTATACCCCAGGTATACCCCAGGTATACCCCAGATATACCCGAGATATACCCCTGGTATACCCCAGGTATACCCCAGATATACCCGAGATATACCCCTGGTATACCCCAGGTATACCCCCAGATATACCCAGATATACCCCAGATATACCCCAGATATACCCCAGATATACCCCAGGTATACCCCAGATATACCCCAGATATACCCCAGATATACCCCAGATATACCCCAGGTATACCCCAGATATATTCCAGATATACCCCAGATATACCCCTGGTATACCCCAGATATACCCCAGATATACCCCAGATATACCCCAGATATACCCCTGGTATACCCCAGATATACCCCAGATATACCCCTGGTATACCCCAGATATACCCCAGATATACCCCAGATATACCCCAGGTATACCCCAGATATACCCCAGATATACCCCAGATATACCCCAGATATACCCCAGGTATACCCCAGATATACCCCAGGTATACCCCAGATATACCCCTGGTATACCCCAGGTATACCCCAAGTATACCCCAGATATACCCGAGATATACCCCTGGTATACCCCAGGTATACCCCAGATATACCCGAGATATACCCCTGGTATACCCCAGATATACCCCAGATATACCCCAGATATACCCCAGATATACCCCAGATATACCCCAGGTATACCCCAGATATACCCCAGATATACCCCAGATATACCCCTGGTATACCCCAGATATACCCCAGATATACCCCAGATATACCCCAGATATACCCCAGGTATACCCCAGGTATACCCCAGATATACCCAGATATACCCTGGTATACCCAGATATACCCCAGATATACCCCAGATATACCCCAGATATACCACAGATATACCCCTGGTATACCCCAGATATACCCCAGATATACCCCAGATATACCCCAGATATACCCCAGATATACCCCTGGTATACCCCAGATATACCCCAGATATACCCCAGATATACCCCTGGTATACCCCAGATATACCCCAGATATACCCCAGATATACCCCAGATATACCCTGGTATACCCCAGATATACCCCAGATATATACCGAAGATATACCCCAGATATACCCCAGATATACCCCTGGTATACCCCAGATATACCCCAGATATACCCCAGGTATACCCCTGGTATACCCCAGATATACCCCAGATATACCCCAGATATACCCCAGATATACCCCAGATATACCCCAGATATACCCCAGATATACCCCAGGTATACCCCTGGTATACCCCAGATATACCCCAGATATACCCCAGGTATACCCCTGGTATACCCCAGATATACCCCAGATATACCCCAGGTATACCCCAGGTATAACATTAAATTATTTCAAAATTTTTAAAATAACATCATAATTAAGTTTTAAAAGATTATTAAATATACATTTATTTTCTTATTACTTAATTTACCAAGAAAAATAAATTTTAAGTTTAAAAAATCTAATTACTTTCTTTAACTTTTAAATAACATTTACATAAACAACTTCAACATCGTGAATTATTTAAGATTTATTATTTTTAAACTTGATAAATAATATAACTTTCCGTCTTACTACTCTCGGTCCGGTTCCAATATTATTTTTGGGCCAGGCTTATTATTTTTGACGTGCCTCGTGTAAGGCATTAATATTGTTATAATACCTGGGTTCAACTGCCTCCCAGCACACATAAGGGGGATTACCAACAGACCCCTGGCAGTCTTCAAGCTGGCACTGGACAAGCACCTAAAGTCAGTTCCGGATCAGCCGGGCTGTGGCTCGTATGTTGGTTTGCGTGCAGCCAGCAGCAACAGCCTGGTTGATCAGGCTCTGATCCACCAGGAGGCCTGGTCTCAGACCGGGCCGCGGGGGCGTTGACCCCCGGAACTCTCTCCAGGTAAACTCCAGGTAATAATAGCACTAATGAGCATTGAGTTCTGGGGGTCGTCGACCCCGCAGTCTGGTTTATACCTGGAGAGTTCCGGGGGTCGTCGACCCCGCAGTCTGGTTTATACCTGGAGAGTTCCGGGGGTCGTCGACCCCGCAGTCTGGTTTATACCTGGAGAGTTCCGGGGGTCGTCGACCCCGCAGTCTGGTTTATACCTGCAGAGTTCCGGGGGTCGTCGACCCCGCAGTCTGGTCTATATCTGGTGAGTTCCTGGGGGTCGTTGCCCCCCACAGTCTGGTCTATACCTGGAGATGGTTCAGGGGATCCCCCTCCCGCAGCAGTGGGGTCTATACCTGAAGAGGGGTCTTGAAGACAACCAGGGGTCTTAAAGACAACCAGGGGTCTTAAAGACAACCAGGGATCTTGAAGACAACCAGGAGTCTTGAAGACAACCAGGGATCTTGAAGATAACCAGGAGTCTTGAAGACAACCAGGGATCTTGAAGACAACCAGGAGGCTTAAAGACAACCAGGGGTCTTAAAGACAACCAGGGGTCTTGAAGACAACCAGGGGTCTTGAAGATAACAAGAAGTCTTGAAGACAACCAGGGATCTTGAAGACAACCAGGGATCTTGAAGACAACCAGGGATCTTGAAGACAACCACGGACCTTGAAGACAACCAGGAGTCTTAAGACAACCAGGTCTTGAAGACAACCAGGAGTCTTGAAGACAGCCAGGGGTCTTGAAGACAACCAGGGATCTTGAAGACAACCAGGGGTCGATCTTGAAGACAACCAGGGGTCTTAAAGACAACCAGGGGTCTTAAAGACAACCAGGGGTCTTGAAGACAACCAGGAGTCTTGAAGACAACCGGGGATCTTGAAGATAACCAGGAGTCTTGAGATAACCAGGGATCTTGAAGACAACCAGGGGTCTTGATGACAACCAGGGGTCTTGAAGACAACCAGGAATCTTGAAGACAACCAGGAGTCTTGATGACAACCAGGGGTCTTGAAGACAACCAGGAATCTTGAAGACAACCAGGAGTCTTGATGACAACCAGGGGTCTTGAAGATAACCAGGGATCTTGAAGACAACTAGGAGTCTTGATGACAACCAGGGGTCTTGAAGACAACCAGGGATCTTGAAGACAACCAGGAGTCTTGATGACAACCAGGGGTCTTGAAGACAACCAGGGATCTTGAAGACAACCAGGGGTCTTAAAGACAACCAGGGGTCTTAAAGACAACCAGGGGTCTTGAAGACAACCAGGAGTCTTGAAGATAACCAGGAGTCTTGAAGATAACCAGGAGTCTTGAAGATAACCAGGGGTCTTGAAGACAACCAGGAATCTTGAAGACAACCAGGGGTCTTGATGACAACCAGGGATCTTGAAGACAACCAGGGATCTTGAAGACAACCAGGGGTCTTGAAGACAACCAGGGATCTTGAAGACAACCAGGGGTCTTAAAGACAACCAGGGGTCTTAAAGACAACCAGGGGTCTTGAAGACAACCAGGGGACTTGAAGACAACCAGGGATGTTGAAGACAACCAGGGGTCTAAAAGACAACCAGGGGTCTTGAAGACAACCATGGGTCTTCAAGACAACTAGGGGTCTTGAAGACAACCAGGGGTCTTGAAGATAACCAGGGATTTTGAAGACAACCAGGAGTCTTGAAGACAACCAGGGGTCTTGAAGACAACCAGGGGTCTTGAAGACAACCAGGGATCTTGAAGACAATCAGGAGTCTTGAAG